AAAAAAAATCAACCGACACTCGAGCCCGTGACCTTCCACAAACATGGCGAACGTCAGCACAACTTGACCACAATGGAATGGTGGTTTAAGCGTCCAGAAGAATCTGTGGTTCTTCAGCAATGACATGTGCCTTACTTATTATTACATATTTATTTTTATTTTAAATTTAATATTTGTTCATATATTCCTTAAACCAGATTTACATTTTTTTTTATTGCATGGTATATTATGACCCAGAAAATAAAAAATTTCCACTGCAAAGTAAGTGCCACTTGTTACTAAATAATAGCTATGCAAAATGTATGTCTGCCATCTTTGGACGCCATTGTGAAATTATTATAAAAATTTAAGATTTAATGAGCCATAAAAGACTTTTTTTTAGAGAAAAAAGCAGGAACTTCAAATGTACATAATCCATTGCTTTGTTAAGGGATGGGCCAATTTGTTGCAATGACCTTTGACCGTTTCTGGCATCATTAGTGATATGTTTGCATAACCCTTGATAAAAAAAATGTAGTGGTACTGAACAATGATATTTTATACTTAAAAATGCATGTATTACGGGTTTAGGATAAGATATGGCTACCGTATCTATTCTACCCCCACCAACTTGTTACTATATATAGAATTACCCTTTTTAGGTAAAAGGTCATAACAAAATCTTCCCATGGCCGATATCCATCCAACTTTTTTTTGGTGGTATTCCAGGTCGATATCAACAGTTTCCAACAAAAATCGCTTTGTAAATAATTTTTTGCCACTTTGGTGCTCCGTCTGCCTAACTACTATAAAACTTTGATTAGAGCATTGCTTTGGCCTTTTTTCAACTTGTGCGTAAAATATAAATGGTTCTGTTTTGAGTTTTCATTTTTCATATGCAGGTCTCTGTTTTCAAATATAAAGAACGGCACCGCCACCACTATTCTCTCATATAAATTATCCTATCTAACAATCATTCATTAATATTTTAAGATAAAAAAAAAGGCAATACACAATTAAGCAAGACTACAATAGCTAGGTGCCAGCAGCGCAGCTTAAAAAGCAAAATAATATAAAAATAAAAAATAAAATAACTTCTAAAACTCCGGAGAGTAAGCTTGCTGGCTTCTCTTCCTAGATTTTGCCTTTCAATACATTATAAACCCTGCAATGGAAGCATGTCATACGCAGATACCAAAATGTCCACGAAATTGTTCAAGCGGAACTCTCAGCAAAATTAGATATAAAGATGTGGGGTAGAAAAAAAGTCCCGAGAAGGTCCATAAAACCATTCATGCGTTAACTCAAACATATAATAAAGATGTGGGCTGAATCACTCGTGCGGAACTCTGCTATGCGAAGTTGTAGGCTCATTGTGTAAATGGTATACTGTAGCGTGTACCTAAATACAACGGTGGGGGAAAAATAGAAGATGTAACAGCAGTATGTTCTATTAACTTAAAATTTGTACTCAATAAAATGGGTTACACTGAGCCGATTTTCACCATTCAAAAGTCGATATGAGGTGCTAGTAAACGTTTATTAAGTTTTTTGGAAAGAAAGTAATGAAATTATGTCTCTAAATAGAAGTTCATATGCATCAGCCGGATTTGTACAATTGTTTATCATTGTGATTAATCTGCTCAATAAACAATTTTAATTATTTTGCAAATATAAAGATGTGGATAACCCACATCTTTATATACGACTTTTCATGGATCTCGACCTGCTATGTTTGGAAAAATCTTCCAATGTGATAAATATAATAAATGACTTCTGTTTTTATTTTATTTTCAAATATTTATTTTTTTATCATTATTATTTTCTGTGAATTAATTATGGATCCAAAAAAATCATTAAAGTTACATAAGTTTGTGTGACCTAAAGTGTGCCACCTGTAATTGACATATACCTATTACAGATTACAAATAATAAAAATTAATTGAAAACAAATTTTGCTTAATAGAAATTTGTAGTGTAAATGATTTATGACTTGGGGTGATATAGTTTTCAATAATACTAAATACTAAATAGTATTAAATAAATTCATCTGCTTCCAACATAGAATGCTTTTACTTCATTAATCAGTATATCGGTAGTGCTGTGTTTCTTTAATGCAACTTGTGCTAATATTTTTAATTGTTGATATTCCTTGTGGTTGGATGAAAGTAAAATTTTAAAAACTCAATATGTATTTTATCTATCCTAGTTGCTGGCAGTCTTGAGTGTCGATACACTTGTTGCTCGGGCGATGGAGAAGCCACAGGATGCTGTGTTGCCAAGGTAATTCAAATCAAATAGTAGCCTACCTATAAAGCTGTTCACTATACTTGACTGTAATACATCTCTAGTACGACAAATCCAACTTTGCTCCCTGTCAGCGCTAAACAACGCGATGCCGTCTGCTGATTGTCGATTGCGCCCGTGTTGTGCCTTTGCGTTCTCCGTAGAATCGCATGGGCGGTCGCAGTGAGCACCCAGCTTTGCATTCTTGTACAATTCTTTTACAAATCTCAATCTCTAAATGTTGGAAAAGACCACAAGTTTAGGGACAATCTTTCTTGATTACTTAAAATTAACTGTTAGTATTTGACTTCTGTATCTAAGTTCAGGGACAATCTTTCTTGATTACTTAAAATTAACTGTTAGTATTTGACTAATATATCTAAAAGTTATCTATAGTAGTTCCACCTACAGTACAGTATATTAATATTTTTTTATTTTTTTTATTATCTTTATTTTATTCAATTTCCAGGTAACAATACAACAAAACCATGACAATGAGAATACAATACCCTGAGGATTACCATGAGTGCAAGCATTATCTGAGCAGCTCTCTATATTGCATTCTTATGTATACTAAACATTAAAATTATCTCCGATATAAAAATAAAATTTTGTTTTTAAAATTTTTTCATAAAATACAGTAAGAAACAAATACAATAAAATATTTTAAAATCATCAACAAAATAAAATAACATTATACATTAAAGTTGCAGAATATATGAACGATATACTGTATGTAGATAGCTATCTATAATATGGTGTACCACAAGCACTTATTATTTTGTTACTTTAACGTGTAAACCCTCGAACAACAAATAGTTCAAATTATATACGTCACACATAGATTCTAGGCATCTGATTGGTTAAGAAGTAGGCAATAAAAAGTCTATTCCCCTAAAAAAGTACTATTCCCCTGAAAATAGTACTTTTTGACGGTAGAGGAGACTGCAATCTCTACGATGAAACAGATTGGCCCTTGACCACACCACAGATCAGCGAGTAGGCGATAAACAATAATTATGAAGGCTCTCGGTTCGAGCTCCTGGATGAATTACTAGCCTAGGCATATTTCTTGACTAAGCCGATAGCAAAAGCACCAAAAGACAAATTAATTATGTCTTGTCATTAGTCGACAAATATTGCAAGACGATGGGTTGAAATTGAGGAAATGAGCTACACTCACTTTTTGATCGCCTAGGCCTCTAGGCTAGGCTAGGAAGTAAGTACTTTTTTAAGCCTCATAGAATTTATGTATGAGGTATATAAAACAAATATTGACTGCTCTAGATTCGGGTAACGGTGAAATCTATTGCTCCGAGGTGATGTGGAGATTGTAGCCTATCTTCCTGAGGGCCGAATCTGAATCTAGAGCAGTCAGTATTTGTATACTATAAAAACGTACAAAATGGAAGCACATTCTGGGAGTGCTTGAAAGCGGTTGTTCAACCTTAAGTCAGGCCCGAATCTTTCAGGCTGTCTTTCATTTGTGACATTGGGCAGGGCACTTAGTCTATATTTTGTCAAAATGAGAGTCAATTTATACTCCCAGCAGGGCCCCTAAATTGTAAGCCTGAAAGTGCCATTTCCAAACATCTAGAGGTGCCACAATCAAAAGTGTGCTCATTATTATAGCCCGACTGATTCGGTCTAAACCCTCCATCTGTGAAAGTTCCTCCCTGAGCACCTCCTATTCGTAGATCTGCCATTGAATAATATGTTCAGGTATTAATTATTTCATTTTCCCCTTAAATGTCAGTTACACGTTACCGATGACAAGTGTGGTAACTTTGAGGGTTTCATGAAAACTATTGCAAAGTCACCATTACCGAATCAAAGTCCAGGAGTGTTTGCAGTTGACTGTGAAATGGTAAGTCAATAGTATTTAATGAGGTTTTAAGTAATAGTTATTAGAGCTATGCAATTAAGTGATGGAAATGTGAGCTAAATTAAGTGATGTATGTTAGTGCTACCCTGATTTTGGATATTAAACTTTAATAACAGCTATTGTATAGATTGGTAATACTGCCCTCTTGTGACTAATTTTGTGATGTAAATCTAACAATGTGGCAAAGACAAGCCAAACCAGTCAGTCACTCGTTGCAAATCATGTTTCAGAGAAAATGGCCAAAACATGCTGAAATGTCAAATTTTTTTAAATCTATTTTATTGCACTAAACTAACTTTTATGTATCTATACATCATGCTATGCTTTTATTTTCCTCATTTTCAATGTTAAATCCTTTTTAAGGTTTTGATGATAGTGTGTGAACCAGAGAAGTGCCACAAAATCATAAACTTTGAAGGCTGATTTCTTATTGTTGTTCTTTAAACAGCTGTAACTTCATAAGGAAATTTTACCATTTTATAACTCTTATTTTTACTCTTAAACCATGTATTAATAACTCAAAATTTATTTTTGCGATGAGTGATTGGTCGACTTGGCAGCAACATGTTTTGAGTTACATAATAGTGAGATATACACAGGTTTTCAAATGACACATTTACCCCAACATTTGTTTAGAAATTATCATTATAGAATTTCTATTTATTTAGATACAGTACAATTGTCTTAAACCATCATATTCATTTACCTTAAGACCATATTGGAATTATACATAACTAAGTACTAAGTCAGGCCAATATGAGTAATATATTTGAAACCTTTTTTATTATCTTCAAATTATTTATAACATGAATTTACAACATATTTTATGTTTGTCTGTTTTGCCATTTATACTTACATACAACACTGTCTTGTGCGTTGTTGAATACAAATTAAAATTCTGTTATTTTTGCATGAACTGTAGTGTTACACTAACAAGGGTCTGGAGTTAACAAGAGTTACAGTGATTGGAGAAGAAATGCAGAAAGTTTACGATAGTCTAGTTAAACCAAGCAACCCAGTAATCGACCACAACTCTAGGTAAGTGTGTATGATTAATTAAGGCTATGTTCAGATTTGGAGATAAGCCAGGCTTGAGTTAAGCCCGGCTTAACGTTAAGCCCAGCTTAACTTTGCCGAGCGTTCAGACTAGCGGTTAGCCAGGCGAGAATTTGCATAATAATGAACGGTAAGCAGGAAACGTGTTTCAAAACATTGCTCGCGAAAATATGCTCACTCACAGCATATATAATTGAATGCTGATTGGTCATTTCATCACCCGAAGTCAATGCAAGTCCCCGCAATGATTAAAGCCCGGCTTAGTTAAAAAGTTAAACACGGTGGCACACCAGGCCTAGTTACTATAGGAACACAGCCCGGCTTGAGATAAGCCACCTAGTTCAGACTGGCAGGTGAATAAACCCGGTGAGTTGAGCCGGGTTTATCCACCTAGTGTGAACTAGGCCTAAATTAATCTGTAACAAGTGAATTTTCTTATTTCACAATACAGTCAATAATATAATGAATACAATATGATTATAAAATAGAAATACTTTACTGTACCCCATCGTACATAAAAAATAATTGTCTTAATAGATTTATTTATTCAACAAAATGACAAGAAATGTTAAGATTGAGAAAAGAAGTAATTAGGTAAAAAAAAATATATTAAAAATAAAACTAATATCAGAACATTCTATAGTGTTTAAAATAACTTGACAATTTATATATATATATTTTTTTTTTTTTTTTTTTTTTCACATTCAATAGTGGAGTGCCTGTCACTTACAGAATGGAATTCATAAAACACAAAATGGAAAAAAACATTTACTCAAAACATTTCTTAATTTTATACTATAAAAATAATTATTTTATAAGTTTATTCAACTTGTTTTTATTAATTTATTTATTTGATTTCTTTTTAACCCTGGGTACCTGATCAGTGAAAAACTATTGTTATCCTCCAGGGCCCAGCAACACATACAATAAATATAGCAATCAAGTGGTAAAAATTGAGATAAAAGTACAAAGACAACTAATAAAGGCTATAGAAGTTCAAAATGTTTAAAAGGGTAAATGCATAATAATAATTATGTATCTGTATGTTAATCAAATTCATAATAATTATTATGTATAGATGAAAGTACAAAGACAACCAATAAAGGCTATAGAAATTTAAAATGTTTAAAAGGATAAGTGCATAATAATAATTATATATATATTTTAATCATAAATTCATAATAATAATTATATATGTATTATAATCAAATTCATAATAATAATTATGTATATGTTTTAATCAAATTCATGATAGTAATTATGTTTATATACTTTTATCAAACTGTTGGTTGTAACAGTGATCGGTTGCTCCCACTATATATGCATATGCATTTGGCTGCACAAATGAGAATGATTTGCTAGTGTACAATCACTGACAGTTTAAGTTGTACAGTTTAATAGTCCAAGAGGTCCACTGATTAATCTAATATAAGAAAGTATAATACATACTCCAGCAGGGGTGTCATTTTGAAATGAAATAACAGGAGGGGGTTTAGTAATAGGCGGAGGAACATGACGCGGGGGGAACATCCGAGGGCGGGTTTGAGTGGGGGTGTCCCCCCTCCCTACCTAAGAAAGAAATGAAAAATAATTACTGTAAGATGCCATTTAACCATGTTTGAATTGGCATTTAACACTGTTAAATTTTAAGTTTTGAATATTGTTGCGGGAGTGGGTTTGGGAGGTCTGTCCCTCCCTCCCTACCTAAGAAAAAAATTTAAAATAATTAATGTAAGATGCCATTTAAAAGTGTTGAATTTTAAGTTTTAAATTGTGTTGCAATGATTGATTTTAGAATGTATTAAACACTATTTTAAAGTAAAAATCCAACAGTCAAACACTTCTGTGGTTAATTTAATTATAAGTAACAATAAATAACACATCCCATCATAAAAATAAATAAATTATAACAACTTCTATTTATAATCCAAAAGGCAAAATACTGAAAAAAAACAACGAGATACAAAATTGGTAATCAAAAGCTAAAATTTAAATGTAAAAGTAAAACAGCCAGTGAGATAAATACCTAGCTTTTTGGGACAGAACACTGTCGCCTTCGTCAGGGTTAACTTTTCTATAATTGGTTTTTATTTATTTATCAGCTACACAAAATAAGAATATAGTCTTCTTGCATATAGAAAAAAACGTAATTGAATACATGTTCTTAGTATCTAAATATTGTATTTGTATACAATGGAATAATAATCTACTGTACATTGCTACAGCCCTCGAAATTAGCGATCGTGTTGGTAATCATGTGTTGTTCAATAATGGTTTTTGAAATAGAAATTCTTGTTTTAACAAGTACTTGCTTGAAGAAATATCATGATTTACGACATTAGATTCTGTATGTAAAAAGTAAAGTATTGGTTCTTAGGGCTTGGCAAGGACCAGCCCATGATGAGCCTAGGTTTCAGGCCACTATTTTATTATTGCCTCCATTCTAATAGCCGGCACAAAAATCATAATAGACGGAGATTGCGCTGGCCGCCGGCTTAAAATGACACCCCTGCTCCAAGTATTGAAATACACATCATCATGTATTGTTCTGTTTAATACAATGATAAATACTTTTTGTTTGATGAACTGAAGTTGATAATTATAAGGTAGGCTTAACGTCCTGGTAGACATTCGTTTCAAATAATTAAAATGTTGCATTGACATACTGTAATATTACAGATATTTCAGCATGGGCTTACTAGGCCTGTTCCTGGTTTAGTCTTCATTTGTGTTCACCAACAGCTTAGCACAAGTTCTTTTATGTTTGTTGTGTGCATTTGACTAGGCCTAACAGTGAAATGTTCTTTGTAGTCTAAAGAACAGCTTTGTTTGGCCTTTTTGGATACTCGCACACTATATCAAATTAGTGGCACATAAAAGAAATAAATAAATTACGTGAAATGAAAAGGATGATATCACAACTGATATACCTAATATAAAACCCTATATTCTCTCTGGTTTGACTATCTGGGCAACCTGACCTATTTGTTTAAAGAATAATTTTCCTTGGTGGCAGTTTGGATTTAAGCATCAAATTGGCATAACAACAGTCCTGGATTCAACCTGAATAGTTGACTTTTACATTGATTAATTATGTACAATATTTATCTATACTGCAATACAAAAAAAACGGATAAAAAAAACATAATTAACTTGCAATTTATTTTTTTTTTTTTCTTACTGATAAAATGTGGCATTGCGCCAATATTCACAACATTTTGTTGAATGGCGAAAACGTTCTCTCACCTTATCTTCTTGACATTCGCAAAGCTTTCGATTCCGTTGCTCATTCCCTTTTAGTACATAAACTGTCTCGAATCATTCGTATTGATCCTACTACTATTTCTTGGATTAAAAACTGGCTGGCTCAACTTCTGTAAATCCAATCCTCTCTTCCTCTCTATTTCCCTCTATGGCTCCGTTGTCGAATCCGTCTCCGAACTTAAATACTTGGGCATCATAATCATTAATAATTTAAAATGACAACAACTTGTATAGAAATTGGCCTGGAGAAAACTTTCAATACTTAAATTTCTCAAACACTCCCTTAGTCTTAAATATGTCTCTCTCTCCTTTATTTATTACATATCCAACCTAAACTCGAATGCGCTTGTCCTGTCCTCGGCCACTTACCTATGTGATCTTTACTTCAAACGTATTGAAACACTTTTTGAAAAATTCTCGATCCATCTACTTCTTCCTATAACTACATCAATATAATTCCATTTAAACTAGGCAGAAATTCTTCATCATTCATTTTCTCTCAAAAATTATCCAGAACCTATAGATCACCCATTACACAATTGTCTCCCCACCCCACGCCGCTCCTGCACTACTTCTTTGCGTCATTCTCATCAATCTTCCTTTCTTCCTTTCCCTGCTCGTACCTTGCGTCTTCATTCATCATTCTTGCCATATGCTCTGAGTCTTGCATACGACATGGCCCATGATCCCGCTAATACCTCCCCTGCTAATATTAAGGCAGCTCTTAATTTTTAAGTTTACTTTATTGCACTTGCCTACTTGCCTAAGAAGTTTGCCATCTTTTTATTATTTTTATAATTATTTTGTGATTGTAAATTTGTGATTGTATGTGGATAATTGCCCTTGAAGGCTCAAGTAGCAATACAATTATTAAATTGAATTGAATCATATGTTTAAGACCGTAAATATAAAGCGTGAGTACAATTTCACATTTTAAGAGTAATAAAATGTTTAAATAACCTTGTCAATGATTCAAGGATAAATATATTTGTTAAAAAGTATAGTTATAAAAAAAAATATACATTCATAAAAAATAATACCTACAATCGAGACATAATTATGTATCCAAAACCAGTGTTTAAAGTCAATGTTCAGAATGCCATTGTCATTATATATTGTCAAACAGTAACAATACAAACACAAATTACAACAGACCAAATTGTTGTATAAAGTTGTTTTTATGATTATAACATATGTGGCAAAGACATGCAAAACCAGTCACTCATCGCAAATCGTGTTTCAGAGAAAATGGCCAAAACATGCTGGAATGTCAAATTTTTTAAAAATCTATTTTATTGCACTTAAAACTAACCTTTAATATCTATACATCATGCTATGCTGTTATTTTCCCCCATTTTCAATGTTAAAACAACACTTTTTAAAGATTTGATGACAGTTTCTGCATGAGAAATGCCCGAAATCATAAACTTTGAAGGCTGCTTTCTCATATAATGTTCTTTAACCAGCTGTATGTTTAAACACTTGTAGCTTTGTATAGGAAATGTCGGATTTTATTTATTTTTTATTTACCATTTCGTAGCTTTTATTTAACTCTTTAACACTATATTAATAACTCAAAATCAATTTTTGCGACGAGTGACTGGTTTGGCTTGTCTTTACTACATATTTTGATTGTAATTAAGTTTTGTAGTTCCACACTTATACTGTATGTTGTAGTTCCACACAGTGTAATTAAGAGCAGTTTATTGGAGTGTACGTATTCAGTTTACACATAAAAAAATGCTTCCATTTAATAAATGCCCCACAAAAACCCTTTTCAACTATAATCGCCCCGGGGCGTTTATGCAGGGGCGGATCCAAAATTGTTCAAGCAGGATGGGTGTGGGGGGGGGAACAACAGTTACAGAATAGGTAAGCAAGTAGAACATAACATTGATTCGCATTGATTTTTTTAAAAATTTAGTGGCAAAACTGGGGGAACGTTCCCCCCCCCATTTCCCCCTACTGGATCCTTGGTTTATTCGAATAAATACAGTTTATGTTCTTTTTTTTTATACTTGTCCAGTGGCCTACGTTTAACAAGTCTCAAATAGGTGATACATTTTTCTTCTAAACCGGTTGTGTTTAATATGCAGATTTATTTTAACTTTAAAATTGAGATTTTAAAGTTAAAATGTCGGAAAATACAACTACCCATTCGCCAGTGGAGGCTCGAAGCAACGAGAAGAGGAGCATAAAATTTTAATTTTTTTTTTACACCATTAGATTCAGTGGGATTACAGAAGACGATATGAAGTCTGTTACTACAACCATACGTGATGTTCAAGCGGTGTTACTTAGTCTGTTTAGTGCTCAGACGATTCTCTTAGGACACAGTTTAGAAAGTGACCTGTTAGCTCTCAAGGTAAAAATACAATCTTGTTAAAAAAATTTTTTTTTTTAAATTTCAATAAAAAATTTAAAATGAGTTATTATTGGTATGGCCAAAATTTTACTAGTAACCTGATGTTTTGTTTTTGTCATAGTATTATAATTTCCTGATAATTTGTTTTTCGCTCAGGAATTTTCAAGTAGGGGTAACTGACTACTATGGAAAACATGCATTTTTACAGCACAGCAATTAATTTTTACAGCACAGCACCTATTATTAACTATTATGGACTGTTCTTCGGATTTGAAAATGTGTACATTTTCAAGTAAATTAACATATACCACCTCCCCTCCCCCCCTCCTGCAATGTAGATGGAAAAATTAATAATTACATAATTTCCTAGATAGAAATCTTTAAAAAAAAAAGTCATGATTTCCTTAACACTACTTTGTAAACCTTATAAATTATATTTAGATAGTAGTAAATCACTTAATCAAAAACAAAACAAAAAATAAAACAAAAACAAACAAACAAACTTTAGCCTAATTCGAAGGAAAAGAAAAAGAAAGGAATGGTGAAGTATATATCTAAGGAATGGCCAACCACACAATTCTCTTTAATTGTTTCAGTTAGTTGGAAAATTTCAAGATAATGGCTAATTTTTCTAAATTAAAATGTATGCACAATATAATGTAATATATAATTTAATATAATAATATAGTAATAAGAATATCATGAGATGTGTGCCAACTAGATCTTCTAATCAATGGCTGCCAATAACTGATCTATTTTCAGTGGCCAAATTTATTATTATATTATGTTCCATATATTTTATCCAGTGGCGGATCCAGGGGGTTCGGGCAAACCCCCCTCTGTGAAGAAACTTAACAAAATACTATTAGGTCCTGGCTTACAAAAGGCATTACCAACCGTCTCACATCGTGCGGGACAGTCCCACATTTCAAAGTGATTTTGGATGTAACACACATTTGGCAGAAACATGCGCATGATCTTAAATTTGTCACGCATTTACGACGAATAATCACGAATTCAAGGAAAATATATTTAAAATTAAAAGAAATTAGTTTTATTAAAATTATAAAACAATCATGCCGTAACTTTAGTCATTAGAGAACTTTCGTTGTCTTGTTTGAGATTCAATTCACCGAAAGCTTTGGTGGCGCGTGCGGTCTTGCGCGTTCTTTGTCACAACCAATGTTGATTATGTGACTGAAACTGCAGTTGTCAGCTTCAAACACGCACGCAGTCAGGTAAGTACAGTATTTATGTGAATACTTAATTCATTGACACGTTACTAAAAATTGATTGGTATCGTTAACTGGTTCTGGTTATGGTATGTAAGGCCGATCTCCTATGGACTCCAAACGTGTAAGACCATGGTTCTTAATAGGTGGCCCGCAGGCCAAATTTGACCCATGAAGATATCCAAAAATAAAAACAAATTAAATAAAATATTTTGATAAATAATTTTCTCATTATAAATGAAGACAACAAAGAAATTCCATATAAATATATACCTATATATATTAAATCATCAAAAAAAGGTAAATACACTGTTTAAATAAAGGACAATAATACATCGCGTAGCATAGCTCTCAACGAATGTAGTCCTGTAAATAAATGAATAAAGAAATTGTGTAATAAAATGCCTCTGGCAGGACTCGAACCTGCGACCTCTTGCTGTCAAGGCGAGCGTCATAACCATTAGACCACGGAGGCTTCATGGTTGAACAGATTCAAATACCACCAGATACACTCCATTGCACAATAGGTACGGCTAGAAACAATATAGGTACATATAATATAAATCAAGATAGCTGTTAACACTGTTAAATTATATATATTAAATCATCAAAGAAAGGTAAATACACTGTTTAAATAAAGGACAATAATACATCGCGTAGCATAGCTCTCAACGAATGTAGTCCTGTAAATAAATGAATAAAGAAATTGTGTAATAAAATGCCTCTGGCGGGACTCGAACCTGCGACCTCTCGCTGTCAAATATATATATAGAACTGGAGGTCGCTGGAACATATATATATATATATATATATATATATATTAACTACCAAAAGTCAAAAGAACAGAAGCTTGTTATTTTTAATGTATTTAATTTTGAATTTTCTAATGTTTCTTAATTCATTTAAATTATTATTATTTATATTTATTGTTTTATATTTTAAATACAAAAGAATTTGTTTTTGTATTAGTTTCAACTTCATCCAAAAAGAAGTTTCTGTAATATGGGAGAAATTGTTGTTTTTTTTCCCTCTCTATATCAATTAATTATTGTCTAGTCATTGTAAGGTTACACTAAAAAGGTGTGCCGATGATACAAAAGCGTTATTCAATCAATTGACTAATTGACTATTGATGCATTCGCAATACAGTATTGGTGAAGCCTTGTAGAAACGTTTTGAAAGTTTAAATCCGGTTTTACGTAAGAAAACAGGAAATTCTTGAAACATGTTTCCTCTTTTGGAATTTCGATATCACACCTATTTTCTAGTCGTTCTATATAGGCCTACCCATATTTCTCTGCATCCACAAAAAACACTCCGGCAAGTAGCGGAAGTAGGCCTATTATTTCTGTACTTCTACTTATTGTTTAACCAAATAGAATGTGAACAGAATATTGATAATTATGTACATCTTCTTTGCTTAAAGTTACAGAATTTGTTACCATATATTGTGACAAAAAGTAGAATTTGAAATTACCAAAAACATTATAACGACTTACCTAATGACCGGTACTCAGATATTATCTTTTGGCCCATGAGCCCAACTCAAAATAAATGTTGGCCCTTTAAACAAATTAATTAAGAATCAGGAGTTTAGGAGTATAACAGGAGGGGTAGAAAGAGTGTCGAATGTTAGGAAAGGTTCACCATGGCAGCCTATTCATTTTTTGTTTGAGTAATGAATTTTTGTCCAAATAGTTTGGGTGCTCAAATTAAACAGCATTGAAACTTGAATTATACGTGGCTTTATTTATTAAAAATATTTTTGTTTATGTACCTGATATTGTCAATAAACACTCCCAAAAAACAGCTTAAAAATGCTCAGTCAGAATTTTCGATGATCTGGGCCTGATAAAATGAATTGCGAAGGTTTATAGTATTTCGATAAAAAGTTTGGGTTTAATCAAATACAGCTTGAGATTAGTGGAAAAGCGTGAGATTTTAGAGTTGAGAGCTTGAGGTTTGTTCGAAAAGCGTGAGGTTCACGCCGGATGCGTGAGACTTGGTATGATATACAGAATGCCTAATAATATATTGACTATATTTTTGATTTATTTTCTATTGTATAGGCTTTAAGAATGAGATAAAAAATTAAAGGTCATTAAAAGACACCTCAGAAGTCGGGACAGCTCATTTCCGGCCATCTAGGAATCTTCCCAGGGGATGACCCCTGACCCCCTTCCATTTTTTTGGTTTATAGGAAAATGAATTATGCCAGCCGTAACCAATTTTGTTTGTTACCTCTTCGGGTAATTACTTCTACTTGCCTTGAAATACAGTTTTTAATTAAAAAAATATTCTACTTCCCATACACAGTAGGCTGCCAATAACTGATCTATTTTCAGTGGCTGAATTTATTATTATATTATTATTATGTTCCATATATTTTTTAATGATATTTTAATTAAATTGTGTATTCATTATTTTAGAAGAATACTGAGGAGCAAATCTAATGCATCCATATAGAATTAAAATATAATACTACATAAGTACTATAGAAGGTATATTACCACCAACCAATGAGACAGGAGAAGCAACAATACCCATCATCTAGCTTAATTATGCCAGCCGTAACCAATTTTGTTTGTTACCTCTTCAGGTAATAACTTCTACTTAATTTCACAAATATTCTACTTCCCATAGCTTATCCACAGTACCGTAATCGATACAGCCATTGTGTTCCCTCATCGACGAGGGCCTCCTTTCAAAAAAGCTCTCCGAACATTGATGGCTGATTGTCTGAACAAGATAATACAAAATAATGGTGAGTGTACAGCCGTTCACACATACCGTGTATTGATTTTGAAAGTTCATTTTGTTTTCAAATGAATAAAGAATATTTGTTTCAATATAAATAACTATAAGGAATGGAATTACAGTACAAAGGAGAAACTAATGATTTCCTGAATACAATGCTAAAATTCACTGACATTGTATTCATTAATGAAAAAATGAAATGGAAAAGCAGCAAATGAGTTCTGGTGTGCCGAAGTGTAACAGTGCCCAAGCCCCCTCCCACTTTTTGTTTAACATGAAAAAAATAATAGTAAATATAGTGATTTAAAGTAATAAATTGAGTGCAATTTACTTTAGTTAGGTGAGATTTCTTTTTTAGCTTCTTTAGCTAACGCGCTGTCCTCCAACAATGATAATTTTAAATTAGCACACCCACTGCCAATTAGCACACCCACTGCCACAAAAAAATGTTTCAGAAAAAATAAAAGTGTTTCTTTATTTTTATTGTGCCTGCTGATGCCTTTGAAATCTCCCAAAATAAGATACAGAATATTTCCTCCCATTTAGATCAATTTAAAGCATTTAACCTTCCCATAACTACACTGCCATTCACCAATAACATTTTATTTTTATTTCTCCTTTGCATGACTGTTGTGGGGAAAAAAAAGTGAAAAAAAACATTTTTTTTTTTTTCGCCCTCCTCTGACAAACTTAAAAAAAAGAAGTCCAGTGGATGTAATATTATTTGTATTCAGCATCTCTTTTCAAAACCCTCAAGCATCGCCTCACAAAACCTTGATGTGCCAATAAGTTATTATAGTGCTGTCCATCAAAACAGACATGAATAAGCCATTGGTTCTTGTTGGTTGGTGTTCTAATTTGCTATTATATTATATTTTATATATATATATATATATTGCTATTATATATATATATATATATATATATATTATATTGCTATTATATTTTGTTTCAGTTGATGGACATGACAGTACAGAGGATGCCAAATCCTGCCTGCAACTCATGTTATGGAAAATAAAGGAAGACACTAAAATTAAGGCACATTCTTAAAATATTGATAACGAATGAACACAATTATCAGCAATTAAGTTTTCATTGTGTACTTAATTGTTTTATTTGGCATTGTATATTCTACCATAGAGAAATGATTACACACTGTTACTGCAGGCACTGCTAAAGCATCCTTTATGAAGGAAGCTGGTATTTTAGCTATTTCTTGGAAAATGGCATTTTTACTTCGAAGATGAAAACTAATTCCACTGGGCAGACATTGATATTTACATTATCGTCATAGATGTTGGAATCAGCTTTGGTATCGTGATAAAAAAAAAATGATCTACACAGTTTATGTCGTCACCTAGATGGTGGTGTGGAGAGAGAGAATATATCCAATGTGTACTAATTGTGGCGTAAAATCAGGGGTGAATGCGTAATATTTCAAATGTTTTGTAGGGTATATGCACCAAATCAGAATAAATAAGTTGGGAGCAATAATGAGGGGGCTAGAGCTTTTTTTTTTTTTTTTTCTTTTGAGATTTTTTTTTCTTTTGAGAAGCCCTATTGAAACATCTTGTATTTGTATTCTATTTTTCCTTATTTCAATACATGGTATAGGTATGTATTGAAGCCAAGCTATAGAGAAAAAAACTTTGATATGTTGTATAACTGATTTTTCAAAGACATAAAAAGAATGTCTAATGAAAAACGCGGGACCGGTTAATGAGATACAGATTTTTGAACATTTAAAAAAAAGGGGGAAAAGGATGGTAAAAAGGGTGGTTAAAAACGTAGTGGCAAAACAATTTTGTCTCTTTTAGTATCAGTCATTTTTCATTTGTTGTTTGAAAGTGCATGGAATTAATATGGCTACAGTTTCACTACTGGTATTTCTTAATTGTTAGAAGTAAAAACAGAGATTGGTGTAGGTTTGGAAGATCAATTTAAAGCATTTAACCTTCCCATAACTACACTGCCATTCACCAATAACATTTTATTTTTATTTCTCCTTTGCATGACTGTTGTGGGGAAAAAAAAGTGAAAAAAAACATTTTTTTTTTTTTCGCCCTCCTCTGACAAACTTAAAAAAAAGAAGTCCAGTGGATGTAATATTATTTGTATTCAGCATCTCTTTTCAAAACCCTCAAGCATCGCCTCACAAAACCTTGATGTGCCAATAAGTTATTATAGTGCTGTCCATCAAAACAGACATGAATAAGCCATTGGTTCTTGTTGGTTGGTGTTCTAATTTGCTATTATATTATATTTTATATATATATATATATATTGCTATTATATATATATATATATATATATATATTATATTGCTATTATATTTTGTTTCAGTTGATGGACATGACAGTACAGAGGATGCCAAATCCTGCCTGCAACTCATGTTATGGAAAATAAAGGAAGACACTAAAATTAAGGCACATTCTTAAAATATTGTTAACGAATGAACACAATTATCAGCAATTAAGTTTTCACTGTGTACTTAATTGATTTATTTGGCATTGTATATTCTACCATAGAGAAATGGTTACACACTGTTACTGCAGGCACTGCTAAAGCATGCTTAATGAAGGAAGCTGGTATTTTAGCTATTTCTTGGAAAATGGCATTTTTACTTCGAAGATGAAAACTAATTCCACTGGGCAGACATTGATATTTACATTAACGTCATAGATGTTGGAATCAGCTTTGGTATCGTGATAAAAAAAATGATCTACACAGTTTATGTCGTCACCTAGATATCCAATGTGTACTAATTGTGGCGTAAAATTAGGCGTGAATACGTAATATTTCAAATGTTTTGTGGGGTATATGCGCCAAATCAGAATAAATAAGTTGTGAGCAATAACGAGGGGCTAGAGCTTTTTCTTTTTTTTTTTTTTGAGAAGCCCTATTGAAACATCTTGTATTTGTATTCTATTTTTCCTTATTTCAATACATGGTATAGGTATGTATTGAAGCCAAACTATAGAGAAAAAACTTTGATATGTTGTATAACTGATTTTTCAAAGACATAAAAAGAATGTCTAATGAAAAACCCGGGACCGGTTAATGAGATACAGATTTTTGAACATTTAAAAAAAAAGGGGGAAAGGATGGTAAAAAGGGTGGTTAAAAACGTAGTGGCAAAACAATTTTGTCTCTTCTAGTATCAGTCATTTTTCATTTGAAAGTGCATAGAATAAATATGGCTACATTTTCACTACTGGTATTTCTTAATTGTTAGAAGTAAAAACAGAGATTGGTGTAGGTTTGGAGAGAATTCAGCCCATAAATCTGCCAATAGCCAGTCAGCAAATTTTGATTTTTTTTTTTAGTTTGGAAAAAAAAAAAGATTAACATTACTCTTTTTGTTTTGTATATTTGTTAATTTTTATATGTAAAGAGTATATATTTTGTGATAATGTTTTGCATCTTACACAACTCTACATTGGTTTACATAAACAAATTAAAAGATTTCTGTGCAATTAACAAGGATAATACAAAAAGAAACTTATTTATTTAATAATGCTAAATTGTTCTTTATAAGAAATAAAACACTGTAAAATTGTAGTACTGTACTTTAAAGACTAGTTTCATTTGACATAGTGACAGTAGCTTTCAAACCTATTCTACTCTCAGTGTGACATTGGAGTCTTCAAAAATGGGGACGATTGGGGCGTGAAGGTGAGGTTGGGGGGGGGGGGCTCAATGGTTAAGTGAGGAGGTACTAGCTTGCAAAACAAGGTGATATGAGGTGATATTATCTACCTGAGCATGATTTTTTTCGCTTTGAACATTTTCAATGAAAGTGGGCTGATTTTTTAGGGGGGATGTGTGCACTACCTAGATACACCACTGCCACTGCGTGCTGAAATGTTTGTCATGTCAAGTGTGCTACAGCTCTACAGTGTTTTAATCATACAGTACATATTCATTTTTTGCCCGTTCCTGATAAGTTTTCTCATCACATTACAGATAAGTGGTTATTGTGACTTACAGAAAAGTCCAAACAGACATCTGTTGTCTTGCAACTCAACGGAATTAAGCTGGTTTTTATAAGATTTCTGTGCAATTACGAAAGATAACACAAGAGAAGGTTACTTATTTAGTATTTGCCTATCGGTTGCTGATGTGTTATAGAAATCCTTATGTTAACTATGTACAAAACATAATATATAACAGAAGTGTAACATTTTTTTATGAAAAGTGAACCGTTATTAAAATTATTCAGAGCATGTTGGCATCACAGTGAATTTGTTGTATTTTAAGCATGCTGTAATTAATCGGCATTAACTTTAAAATAGAGTTTTTTACCAAATGTCATAAACTACCTACTAGGTTACGTTGCAAAATACCAAAATTAAAAATTGGTCCAGCTTTCATTTTATTGAAAATTAGAGATTTTAGTGAAAGAAAACCCATTTAATAGACTTCTTTCACGTAAGAATAGCCCATAATTGTATATTTTCTATTGTACATTTTGTTGAAGGCTTCAGCATTGTACATTATGTGATAGCATCACTCCTTCTTCACTACGAGGTCGGAGAAGTTGTGAAAATATTCGAAATAGAAGCCAAGTGAATCTTTAACACTGGAAATTGCACACAAACATGGGGACATATCTTTTCCCTTATTTATTTCAATTTTAGAGGGCCTTAAGTTGCAATTAATCGTCATATTTTTAACTTAAGAATTATCTTTAATCGGCATAATTGGTATTGGGAGACTTGACTTGAAAAATAGGCCCATTACGGTTTTTGTTTTGTTTGTTTGTTTGGTTTTTTTTCGTGTGAAAAGCTCATTAATAGATTTTTATAACGCTAAAGCAAGGTTAACCATTTATGCAACATTAAAGTTCCATCCATGGCAGAACTTGTTATTTTAATATTTAGTTCTTTATACATTTTAATAAAACCAATAATAACAACTGAAAGCATTTTGAATATATTAGACTAAATATTGATATGGGCATTTCAGGCAAGGTAATGGCGTTAATGTAGTTAGACATAACTGAAAAAAACATCCCGACGGAGTATATGAGTTTACTAGCCTACTTCCGTTAACCCTGAAGATTGCAATATTATGTAATTAATTTGTGCAGCCAAAAATTGCAACAAGAAATGTTTGTAGGATTATTAAGTGGTGATCTAATACTTATTCAATGTGTGCTTAAAATATTCCTTCTATGCATGTCATCGAACTTCCGGATTTGAATATCGGATAATTTTGAGAAAAAACTGCCCACACAACTTATCTGGAAGCAACTAGTATACAGTTGTCTCAGCCAACTTTAAATATAAACCAAGCTTGGTTTGTGTGTTTCTGTGAAAAGTGGTATAGCGTGCTTGGCACGGTTCATTTAACATTTTAGTTATGATTTTTAGGTTCCGGAAATTTCGAAGTACAGAAAATATTAAATACCCTAGGATAGCAATTGCATAATTACATTAACCTTGGAATGATTAAGGCCAAGGAATTGTGAAAACTGTTGTTCAAACATCAGTCTTCTTCACAATCTGATATCATTCAGCCTGCTGAAGTATTTACTTAAAAGCACATCGGAACACAGGTGAGTAGAATTAGGCCTATATTAAATTTTATAAGACTTAGTTGCGGCGCTTGGTTTGGATTTTTTTTTTCATCATCAGTAAGGCATTACAGTACTTGTCCAGCATATCGTATTCACTTCTTATTGGAATATACAATATGTCAAAAAACAAGAACACCACGATTGCAAACATTTCTCAATTCGGAAACCGGTTCTTTTTGGAGGAGGACGGGAAAGGTTATAGTTGGTTTTCCAGGCTAAACTACAATATTTCACAAGAAGCTTTATCAAGACCGGGAAATCCTATTAAGTCTACATAATACCTTATTTTTAACTAGTACTACGAAGTATGCATTTTTTTTAAATTAACGAGTTTGTAAAATTTACTTGACGCAGGGTTCCCGGAACGCGATTTTTTTTCCCGTACGAAACATTTGCATGAAACTTTATTCGGGCCATCTCGGATTGACTCGACTCGAGTTCGATACGAGGAACAAGAACAGACACAGCAATGTCGTGACGCTCGAGTTTTACTTTTATTGCTCTTTCTATGTTTACCTACGGTAGGCCTATGAAATATTACGGATTTATGGGATGTACGCCGTGTGTAACTAACTGTGACCTTCTTGTATGTTATTAAATGTTAGTATAATATCTACAACAACAACAGCTAGTACCCCTCCTTTATAAAGTGTAGATAGCTACACCAAAGGCTGACAGAAAGAAGATAAACTACAGGCCTAAAGCAGGCTGAATTAAGTACTACCTACCATAGGCCCTCCCTAAACTAGGCCTAGGTCCTTAGGCTAGGGTCCTAGGCTGACACCAACAGTCACGTTTCACATGACGTTGATTGAAATTTTGAAAAAAAGGGGGGAAATTGAAGCATGAAATAAAAAATTGAGTGCACAAGAGAAATATTATTAAATAATAATAAATAAAATATACCATTCCGGCGTTATTGAACTTGGCCAAACTATCCTTGTAATGTAATTAATGTTAAATAATAATAATAATAATAATAATAATAATAATAATAATAATATAATCATTTCAGCATTATTACCTTGGCCTAAGCCTTGTAATCAAGAACCTATTTACTAGGCCTATAATTAATAACTAGCCCAAGGGAGGAATATCTTTTGTGCTATTTCCCCTTAACGTCATTTTTTTTATGTTCTCTAATTTCTCCATTGTCTAAGTTCCTAAAGTAGGTTTTAATAACATAATAATGAATAATAATAATAAATAATAATCATTTCGGCATTAATTAACTTGGTCTAGCCTTGTAATCAAGAACCTGCAGATACTATTTACCATATAACTAGGCTTAGGCCTCATTTATACATTCATTGGTGCCGCTCTGCCATTTTGGCAGGTCTTTGACATCCAGTATTTTAGAGCTGCCTATTCTCAGCTCTTCACTTTGAAAATAACTGTCACCCTGTTTCATTTGAAAGAAACGCGCTATTCCTTCCTCTTTGTGCTTTCCCTTGAAAGCGTATATTTTTAGTAGTTAGGTAAATATGCAAAACCCAGATCTAACTAAAAAAAAAAGAAAATTGTCACAGTATGTAACTCAAGTTCAAATCCATTACCCCATTACTCGTGCAGCTCAATCAAATATTTATATACGTCATTTTAAACGACCCATTAATATTAGCATGGTAACATCAATATATTTTTTAAAAATCAGACAGCGGCGTTCTCTCAGAAGTTGTTTTGCATTTTGCAGACGTTTATCTGTTGATGACCTTTTGACCTCCTGATTTCTGCAATATGAGATTTTCGGCCCGAGTCGATTCAGTCGAGACGGCCCGAGTGGAGTTTCATGTAAATGTTTCGTACGGGAAAAAAATCGCTCCGGAACGCCGACCTTAGCGGCGTGTGCGAAGCACAACTCAGAGCCAGAAGTGGAACGCGAATTTCTATATGGTTTCGTAGTCAGATTTTCGAGAAAAATTCAGCTACCCGTATTTCTCGACTGAGACGTCAATGGGAGCTGTAATTTGTATGGCAAGGAGATGGTGCTACCCTTAATTTCGTGTTAAGGGAATTTACGCCCACAAACCTTGTAGTTATTAATATTTTGGTTATAATAGAAAATTTTTATTTTTTGATGACGTCACACCCACGCTATAGTTAGCATGTATACGTCATAAGCTAGATTGCGTCACCTTTTCCTGTTTTTTTTTTTTTTTTTTTTTTCAAGGATAAACAAACACAACTGCTTTGCACATGAATGCCTTGCCTAGCTAGGGCGTATACAAGAGGCGCATAGTTAGCATACAATACTTAAACAAGGTACGTCTGCAACTGAATTAATTATTGTTCGGCCCTAGTTAATTTTTTTTTTTTAATTTATTTCTTTCGAAAGTGTACTTTCTATCACATATAATTGCACTGTATACTTTTAGGCCTAGGCCTAGTCATATTATGGCTTCATCGTCCCCTGCTACACACAGTACATCAGTAGACAACCCCCCACCCCACGCTACAGTACAGACGTTTGCTAGGCAACAGAACGTGATTGCACCTTTCTTCCCAGTGTTCATGTAAATTTGCATATTGTTAGATAACCAGCTGAGTATATTCCTTTGTGAAAATGAGTACCGCGGCATACTCATTTTCACAAAGCATTTGCATCCCCTCTTGGAAAGAGGGAACTTCGAAATAATTGTCTCCATATCTTCGCTAATTAATCACCATAATTTAGCTTACACTAATGCATGGAGGGAGCACTTAAAATTTACAATAATCATTTAACTACCCGACAAACCCCGAATTTTATTCATGCATTACATAAATAGTTTCATCTTCTGTACTCCAACATCACTGTGGCATGGTAACAACCAACTGGCAGACCATTTCCGGTCACATATTATTCTCCATAACGCAGCACCCCCTAGTTTCGTGTCCTCTGGGTAGTTATAATAGAGATACTATAGCAAACAAAATAGAGGTAGGCCTACAAGAGACGTGAAAAAACAATTTCGTACATAATCGGGTGCCTCAGATGCATCAATGCCATTGTAGAAATTAATTACCTTCTGACTAAAAAAGTGGAAAACCTCCTTGGCAATTTTTTTATTTGCAGTCATGGTCAGAATAAGACATGCCTATGCAACAAAAGCAGTTACTTAAATCTCCGACGATCTTATTCTTTGAGGTTCATTTCTGAAAACCGTGATAATTTTGTTGTCGATTGTGGCCGCTTTACCAAGTGCTTTATTACACAGTTATAACAAGCTCAGATTGTATATAGCATGGGCGGATCCAGAGATATCCAAAAGTGGGGGGGGGGGGGGGGGGCGGTGCCGAAAGTTGGGCCGATCGAGACAACATTGCCCTAGGGGGTCGGGGCATGCCCTCGCGTAAGTTTTGCGTTCTAGACGCCCGAAAATAACATTTGAGACGTTCTGGGCTGTATAAGAGACAGTATATATGAATCAGGGTTTCCCTCGTCAAAGATCTAATCCAACTATCCAATCTTCGACTTATAAAACGTGTATATAAAAACTCAATACCTCGTCATTGCAACAGTTCTTACACTAGTTCAGAGTCCATATATATATTTTTTTCATTTTATGGCCTTTTGTTTAAAAAAAATTCGTGCAATTTCGATGTCTGCTTTGAAAAAGATACGATTTTTAGCTCCATTATGGTTCTATTTATTATTTGAAACAGTCTTTACATTTATTTCCGTATTGTTCATAGTATAATATCCACGTGGCAGCTAAGCGACTCTGCACGGATGCATTATTCATAGTTAAACTGTTCAGTAAAGGAAAATATTAAACTGTCGTAATATTGTAGCATTGGAATATTGCGAAGAATCAATGCAACATGTGTTCATTTTGTTTGGTTTTTTTTTTAATTGTTAGTTTTGATCGTAAGTCTTACAAATTTTTGAGGTCATATACACACTGTTATTACTGTCAACACTCAGTGAACATGTGTTACTTGTGTTCAAGTACAAGATTAATTTTCTGTAAACAGGTTGTATGAGCCTGCTGGTGTTCTATGGATGATACAAGTACGCACGAAGAACCTGTCTACGAACAGTTTAAGGACAAGAACGCATTCATTCAATATCTTACGGTATGAATTGAAATTATAATGTCTCAAAGAACAATATTATGAAAATATTTCACGGAAGTAAAATATAAGTATTTAAAACAAGATTTTAGAGAACCTGGCTTGTTTTTGAAGAAAATGCAATAAACAACTCTAAAGCATAAACGAAAGAAAATAAGAAACTGCATTGACATACTATAAAAAAAAAAAAGAAGTTAAAATGTTAACCACAAATCTCCAACTAATACTGAGCAAAACCCGCTCAGTTTCAGTCAGTTGTGTGAGATAGTTCCTGGGTTAGATGTGCGCGTATATCTTCCGTGTCTAATGGGTATGATACTCGCCTTAATAGCGATAGGTTGCAGGTTCGAATCCCTTAAGAGACCCTTTTTGAAACAGAATACAGGAAATATGCTCGATACGATTATAACATCGTATTCCTATTTTAGTACTGTTATTATTATCATGTCTTTAAAATTATGATGAATAAAAACTATAGCCGCGTTAATCTGTTACAGAACAATATGAGATAAATGACAGCAGCACTTTTGAGACTAATATTTTTAGTCTCAGATGTGCTGTTGTCATTTATTTTATATTGTTCTTTAAAATTTTGTCAGAAAATGACAAATTGTGCATTAATTGAATTTCCGGAAATTGTTTAGCTATCCTTGGGCAAGTTAGCTGTATGTTACAATTAATACAAGACTGGAACCATCCCAGCTTCTTGAAATATCGGTTTTTGTTGAGAGAATGTCTAACAATGTCAATATGTTTTTAATAATAATATAATATGGTTGTGCTGATGACATGTTACCTAATTGAAATATTGGCTGATTTAGAACAACTTAATTGCACTTGTTTGGATTATTAGGTGAAACGGAAATCGAGGACAGCTAAGCTACTAACATGTCCTTCTCAACCTAGTTTTTGAAGAATTAAACTTCGGCTAGCAGTCAACTGGAATTTTTTAGCTACCGACTGCATAGTTTTTCATACAAGGTTTTCCCTACCAATTATACGCCTAATTGTGTTTTGAACGATCCTATACTTATTGAAAAACATGAAGAAAACTGGAGGAACATACAGAAGCTATATTGAGGTAAACCTTCTATATTTGGGTCATATGAAGCATGGTATGAAGTAAAAGCAGAAGCACAAACAAGAAGAATATAAAGCGATAGCAACGTTATAATCCGTCGGTCAGGGTTCAGGCTGCAGCTCCCTCGTGCCTCTCTATTTTTAATTATTCAATTACTCTCAATTTGTTTGTTTTCTACTTATGTGAGCTAACTTTATTACCAGATAGTAACCTAGGCATAAACTAAGGTACATTTTGGTATGTCTTACTTTTGGGAAAGGTACAGGAAGGTAAGGTATTTCTTTCTAAATACTGACATAAAATACTTAGTAATTTTGAAGGACGTCCTCTCATATAATACTTTGAATTATTAGCAGAACTGAAGTGTAGAAGCCTTCGGCTATTTTTATATCCTTGAACAATTAGGTTTTTAGCTACGTTAAGACAATTGTTACTTCTTTACGAGGATAAATTAATTAGTGTAAATGATTAGAAATAAGTATTCTCTTTATTTCCAAGTATGAACTTAAACCTATTTGAATGAAGTCTTAAAAACAATCTTAGCTGAAATAAATATGACAGGCCATATTAATTTATGTTTCGTTAATCATGAACGATATGACATAGGCCTAATAATTGGTGTGTGGCCTACTACACATGTGGGACGTAAAAAATAACAGACACATTGTACAAAGATAACATCTCTCTAGTTTACAAATTGAATAGTGAATAATTATATTTACAATTGTCAATACACCTAGAACTATATAATATATATATATATATATATATATATATATATATATATA